GTGTCTCAGAGTCACCACTCGAGTGCAAAGGGTTAATAAGTTTAGGTCTTGTCGAGGTTGACTTTTTCTAGTTTCCGCAATCTATGGATAATCGATTGAGATGTTCACGTTTGTTTTATTAACGCGTTGAACGCCGTGTCACCCATATGTCTGGGTGACGGCTATGTTCTCGCAGTTTTATACTAACAAATTATACTTATATTTAAACCTTTTCACTCGGATGTTGCCGATACAGCGACACAATACATGTACAGTAATGTTTCTCCAATTGACGCTAAGATTGTCCAGGAAAAATGACAATTTTGGAAGAGGAGATACAATTATTCGATCCTTGCGGTTTATTTTTATAGTTACGAATTGTAATAATATAAATATTATAATATATATATTATATATATTATAATATATAATAAAAACGAAACGCGTGGCTCGAATAATCGTGTCACCTCTTCCCAAATTGTCCATTTTAGTGGACAATCTGAGCGTCAGTTAGGGAGACATTACTGCACAGTAATGTCTCTCCAATTGACGTTCAGATTGTCCAGGAAAAATGACAATTTTGGAAGAGGAGATACGATTGATCGAGCCTTGTGGCTCTTTCGTTATGATTATCGATTGTAAACAACCATAAAAACGAGCTGCATGACTCGAATAATCGTGTCACCTCTTCCCAAATTGTCCATTTTTTTGCACAACCTGAGCGTCAATTAGGAAGACATTACTACATTCGTATCAAAGCGGCATCACTTTTAATTATTATTTCCCATCGTACTCTAATGTAGTCACGTGAAATGCATAAACAAAAACATAAAATATTTTATTTTCTACCAACAAATTATACTTATATTTAACCCTTTGCACTCGGATATCGCCGATACAGCGACACAATATGTACATACATATATCCATGTCGAAGCGGCATCACTTTTTAATTATTATTTTCCTTCGTACTTTAATGTAATCACGTGAAATGCGTAAATAAAAACATAAAATATTTTATTCGTCAGTTCCCATACAATTTTCGAGCACATCATAATGATTTTCCTTTCAATTTAACTCTGTGCAACGAAATCACAATGTTTGCAAAATCTGTTCCGAGTACAAAGAGATAAATTTGTATTTAAAATATTGTAACATTTTATTAGTTACGATGGAATTCGTTGAAACATTTTAAACATAACTGGGGCAACTCTGGACACTAAGGACGATACGTTATAGTCTTTTATAAATTTCTCCTCGCTTCGTGGCGCCGAGAAAAACTATATCGATTCACGCTGGACGTTCAAAGTATTAAAAAAAAATAAAAAGAATAAGAAAAGAAAAACTAACGTGTTCAAAAAAAGTGCTTCAAAACGTACGTCGAAAGAAGCCGATAAATAAAGTTATAAAATGATGTTCAGCATAGTTACTTGCCAATCAACGCCGGTTCATTCCGCGGTGGATTGCCCGGTATCATCGACGAGATTTCCGCGGTTCTGATTTACACGTGCATAGAATGCGGCAAAGAAACGGAGATGCCGATCGAAACCGCAACACGCGGTAGAAAATTAATGAAAACCGCTTGTTTAGCAGCGATGACCGTTCCCTAGCCGTTTCTTCTCGTTTTTTAATTCGCCACGAACGAGTCAATCGGCTTCATCGGATTCACTCACCTGGGCGGTGTCGCGCGGTTGCCCGGAAGAAGACAAAAAAAAATGATGGCATCCGATCGTAATCAGGAACGTGACACGGTGGTATTCGGCGTGTCGAAGCGGCTCTCACCGTGACTCATGCGAGAGCTGTTAGCGGTTCGTTTTATCAGCGTCGAGCCTCGTGGCCTGATATCTCGACAATTTGAATTCCTGCTAGTCCGCGTCACGCGGTTTTGTCTTCCCGATCCGTGCACAGTCGGCCGATGATTCAGCAGACCACGCTGGGTGGTGTGCTGTTTCAGCCGCAACGACTGCCGCTTATCCTTCTTCTATTTAGATTCGCTGAACTTCGAGATTCGTCGAAGTCGCACGTCACGAGGCGTTCGTCGGGCAAGAAAATCCTGACGAGCACCTTCTGTTTTGCTGCGAGCACGTGTACAGGGTGTCCCAAAAATGTCTCGCAATCCGAAAGTGGCGGGTTCCTCGGGTCATTTGAAGCAACTTTTTCCTTTACAAAAATTTTCTCCGAGGCACCGTTAACGAGTTATCAACGAAAAACAGTGACCAATGAGAGGCGAGCTCAGCTGACCGAGCCAATGAGCGGAACTGGGCTTCGTGCACTGGTTGGCTGGGCCGCCTCGCGTCAACCGTACTCGATTCTTATTGGTCACTGTTTTTTTGTTAATAACTCGTTAACGGTGCCTCGGAGAAAATTTTTGTAAGGGAAGAAGCTGCTCCAAATGATCCGAGGAACCCGTCATTTCCGGATTGCGAGACATTTTTGGGACACCCTGTATACGCGTGCGTGTCCGTCGTCGGCTGCACGTGGAAAGTACCAATCACGCGGACGCGTCTTATCGGTTTCCCGAGTTCCACGTATTACGATTGCGGCTCGCATGCCACGCACATTCGTGCATATCAATAAAAAGCGAAGCGAGAGCGAGTACATGCTCGCCGGCAGAAAATGTACGTGGTTGTTCCTCCGAGTCCATTATCCGTCTAGAAGTATAGAAAGGCCGGTACGAGAGTACCGTTTTCCCGCGATTATTTTCTACAGGTTGCCTTCGATGTTTAACGCATGATTCAACGTTCTTGTAAATCAACGAATTTCTGGCATGTTTGAGATGCGTTTAAGATGTACAGTAATGTCTCCTTTACTGACGCTCAGATTGTCCACTAAAATGGATTATTTGGGAAGAGGAGATACGATTATTCGAGCCTTGCGGCTCATTTTTATAGTTATAAATTGTCCACAACTATAAAAAATAAACCGCAAGACTCGTATAATTGTATCACCTCTTCCCAAATTGTCCATTTTTGTGGTCAATCTGGGCGTCAGAGAGACATTACTGTATGTATTTTGACACGTTTTTCGTGCGAGTCTTTTGACTAAATCCTTTCTGGCCGAAATGATCTTGTTAGATACTGCTGGTACGATAATTTTTGTTTCGAGAGTACCGATAAGAGCGAATTTCAAAGTTAAAATGCGACGATCGTGGAAATTCTATTCGAAGGAAATTTAAGTGAAATGTAAATGTAGAATCCTTATGTTTGTGCGTTTAAATACCAATTTTATGCCATTGAAAGCCTCTGAGACCACTTTGTCGCAAAAACGTGCACTTATGAAGTACATAATAGTATATCTACTATTAATTATACTATTAATTATAGCAATATATAGTATATACATATATAAATATATAAAGAATAAAAAATAAAAATATATATAGACATAAATATAAATATATAGATATAGATATAAATATAAACATAATAATATTATTATTATTATATTATATAATATATAAATAATACAAATAATCATTATTAAATAATATTATATTATATTATCATACTATTAAATAATAATTAATAATAATTACATATATATATATAACCTTTAGANGATGTTTAACGCATGATTCAACGTTCTTGTAAATCAACGAATTTCTGGCATGTTTGAGATGCGTTTAAGATGTACAGTAATGTCTCCTTTACTGACGCTCAGATTGTCCACTAAAATGGATTATTTGGGAAGAGGAGATACGATTATTCGAGCCTTGCGGCTCATTTTTATAGTTATAAATTGTCCACAACTATAAAAAATAAACCGCAAGACTCGTATAATTGTATCACCTCTTCCCAAATTGTCCATTTTTGTGGTCAATCTGGGCGTCAGAGAGACATTACTGTATGTATTTTGACACGTTTTTCGTGCGAGTCTTTTGACTAAATCCTTTCTGGCCGAAATGATCTTGTTAGATACTGCTGGTACGATAATTTTTGTTTCGAGAGTACCGATAAGAGCGAATTTCAAAGTTAAAATGCGACGATCGTGGAAATTCTATTCGAAGGAAATTTAAGTGAAATGTAAATGTAGAATCCTTATGTTTGTGCGTTTAAATACCAATTTTATGCCATTGAAAGCCTCTGAGACCACTTTGTCGCAAAAACGTGCACTTATGAAGTACATAATAGTATATCTACTATTAATTATACTATTAATTATAGCAATATATAGTATATACATATATAAATATATAAAGAATAAAAAATAAAAATATATATAGACATAAATATAAATATATAGATATAGATATAAATATAAACATAATAATATTATTATTATTATATTATATAATATATAAATAATACAAATAATCATTATTAAATAATATTATATTATATTATCATACTATTAAATAATAATTAATAATAATTACATATATATATATAACCTTTAGAGCCAAGTAAGATATTACAACGACATTCGATTCGTACGAATTTGCAGACATCGAGAAACATATTTGCGAGAAAAGATCACCACTTCTCACAATTTCCTACAGTACAATAAATTTCCAAGCATCCCGATCTAATAAACTTGAACGTCCCCTCGCAGGGAACATCCGAGCGATATGCTAGAAACCGCCAACGTCCCTTGAGAGTAGGCGCGAAAGGTTAATACACGGGTAACAAAGTAATGAATTTAGTCCGCGTCCGTCCGTCGGAGTTCTAAACGTGCGCGGCTTGCACGTAGTGGGCGGATCGTCGGAACGAGGCGTTGCACTCTGGTCCGTGTCAGTGTCAAAAATAGTCGGTCCGAGAATAAACACATATTTGCCGTCGAACCTGGCAAAACGGTGCGCGCTCGTCAGCTCTCGCGGACGGGTGTCTCTCTCTTTCTCGGTGTCGGTAACGCGGGAATGCGTTTCCGTGGCCGACGATGACAGAGCTTGCGCGAAAATAGCGTGTTCTTACCGCGGGCACGCCGTTCCCGCGAACACCGAAAGGGCGTGACAAAACGGCCGCCTGTCCCCGCGGCGCGACGCGTCGAACCGCGAAACTGATTGGCAGTATTTATTGAAGTAGGTGTCTCATGTTCCGCAGAGAAACATGCAGTCGACCTCGATGGCGTGGAACACGTTCATGCCGCTGCCGCCGCCGGGTAGCAGAACGCACGCCGGCCCGCACTCGGGGATGACGGCGCACGTGGGTCATCATCATCCGGGTGCCGGGGCGGGCAGCGCTCATCCTGTCACCGTGGCGCAGCAACAGCAACGGGAGCGGGAGGAGCGGGAGAGGGAGGCGAGAGAACGAGAACAGAGGCAGAGAGAGAGCGAGAACCTGGGGATCAGGGAACAGCTGGTCGTGGCCGAGAGGCTGCAGAGGCAAGCCGAGGCCAGGGATCATGCAGCAGCGCAGCAGAGGGCTGCTTACTATGCGGCCACGGCACCTCAGACTCAACAGGTATGCGCGATCGCAGCGTTTTTTTTTTTACTTATCTTCGAATTTTACTTATCCAGCCGCGGAAGTGACCCTCGCCTCGACACGTTCGCCGACGGTTAAAAGAATTCCACGAGCTTTCAAAAATAGACTGGCGATCTATTCTCAAATCGTCGCATCAACCCTTTGCGCTCGAAGCTGTTTTAATCTGAAATTTCTGATTTTACACGATTTATCTTTTACGCGATCTATGCGTAGTAAATTGAGCTTATTGGCATGTACAATATTTGCAATTTTAACAGTTTCTTTCTTTTTTTTAAATATAAACGAATCTGATATATACGATTCAGATTTTTTTTTTAATATAAACGAATCCGATACAATTCAGATATTTTTTTAAATATAAAGGAATCCGATGCAATTCAGATATTCTTTAAAATATAAACGAATCTGTTATAATCATTTCGAGAAATGGTATAGCAATTTTTAGCGGCGCCTCAGAGTCGTCGCTCGGGTGCAAAGGGTTCAAGTGCATTGTTTTAATGCCGCAGCATTCGTGTCGTTTCGCATCGCAACGAAAAGATATCATTGCTACAGCGTTCGCGTCCGCGAACGTGTTGATAAAGCGATGGAGCTGTATCTGCGACAGTGGAAAAATACGTGGCGGAAAAACTGCTGTGACTGGATTGAAACGCGGGATAAAGGTTCGACAAGCATAGAACCTAGCCGCTTCGTAACCGACCCGAACAGATCCCTGCACATTCCTGACCTAGTGTTCCTCAAGATACGACCGATATTACAGTTCCGCTTGTCGCAGATACAGATCTCTCTCCGCGTAAATTCCGTCGCGGTCGTCGAAGGCTCGCTTTCCGAAACGCTTCTCTCGTAAACCCGTCGCCGATGGTAACGATTTCACGAATCGATCTCATTTGCCGCAGGTGTCACGACCATCGAGCGTACCTGGCAAAGTCGATTACCCACCTCCACCGGCGCACTCGAGAACGTCGAAGTCGTCGCTTCCAGTCAGTAGTCTTCACGAGAAACCGCCGCAGGTAGTCGGCCCGTCGCACAGTTCCCTACCGAAGGTAGAGCCGAACGTGGGCCTGTTCAGCTACTCGACGTACCAGCCGCAGCCGTCGTTCATGCACGACATCAAGGTGAAGAGCGACGTGGGCCAGCCGCACAAGTCCGGCAACAAGGGCGGGCTGGCCGGCGGCCTGGAGAGGGACCACCACGGTAGAGAGGTCCTGCAGAACCCACCGTCGCTGTTGTCGGACCACAAGAGCTCGGTGATCGTGAAGAACGAGGGCCGCGAGCTGCCGAAGACGCCTGTGTCGCAGCAACACTCGCCGAGCCCGAAGATCATGTCGTATCTGAACGTGCAGTCGGTGGCGCCGCAGCACAAGCCGTACGAGTACAGAAGCCCGACGCAGAGCCCGCACCATCTTCATCATCTCGACGGCGGGCTGCAGGCGGCGAAAAGCATACCTCAGGGCCACCACAGAAGCAGCAGCGGGCCGACGACCACGGCGCAGTTACCGAGCCCGCACGGGCACCCACCGCACTCGCACAATCGACAGTCACCGCACGCCCAGCATCCACATCAGCCGCCACATCCGTCGCCGCCGGAGCCGCGGTATCTGACAAGGCCGGAATCAGGGTTACCTTACGCCGCTGCCAAGCCCTCGTACCCGTATCCACATCCGCATCCGCCCACGGCCTCGCCGACGTCCCATTACACAGCGCCGGCCGGCTCGAAGCCAAAAGTGAGCAGCCCGGCGCCGCCACACATCTACGGCAAGCCGAACTCCGGCATCATGACCGGCACGCCGGTGTGCCGGGCCTCGGAGCCGACGGTCGCCGCGCCGATACCCCTCACCTCGAAGGCCGGCAGCTCGCCTTACCAGCAAGTGCCTCATCATCACGGGGCGCCGCCGCCACCCCTGCCGCCGCCGGCCCACAGCAGATCCGTCTACGATCCGAGAGGTTTCACCGGGTCCATGCCAGCCGCGAAGCTGCCGCCGCCGCCGTTGCACGGCTCGCCGCCTACGGCCGCGTCCGCGCCGTTGCCGCTCTCGAGGCCGATAGCCCATCCCGCTCATCACACCAGCCCGCATCAGCAACCAGGACAGACGGTGCAGCTCGCGCAGCCCCCGATGAACACCACCTTCCAGACGCAGCCGCTCGACCTTGGCGTCGAGAGGTCCAGCTCGCCGAAGCGGAAGGCGCCAACCCCCTCGTTGACCGAGAACTCGGGCCAACCGGTGTCCCTCGAGGTCTGCAAGAAACGCAGGACCGAGGAGCTGCAGCCGTTGCCTCTGCAGTGCGTAGGCCCGCCGGTTTTGTCGCGGGTCAGCGAACCGAGCCCGTTGATCGCCTCGGCTGCCACCTCGATCACCACCGTCGTCAACACCGCGGCGCTCCTCGCGCAGCCCAACAGCCAGGCGCAGGAACGCATCGTGACCGCGGTCAGCCCGGCGCCCAGAACTGCCAGCGGCGACGGGTCCGTCAGGCCAGCCAGCACCGGCAGCGTCAGCTCCTTGAACCCGACGGCCAGCGCGGCGCCGAGTCCCGCGCCGATACCGAGCCCCGCACCTTCGACGGCGCCCAGTCCAGCGCCCAGCGCGCCGGGCACGCCGGCGAAAGCGAACGCCAGCACGGTGGACAGCGAGAAGTCGAACAGTCCAGCTCCGAGGCCGCCCAGCAGCACCAGCTACCCGGGGCACAAGCTGAAGAAGGCCTGGCTGCAGAGGCATTCCGGCGAGGACGGCACCGAGGACACCACCGGCGTCGTCGGCAGCGGATCCTGCGTCACCTTACCGTTAAACATCTCCCAAGCGACCTCCCAACCGCTCAACAACAAGGAACGCGACTCCTCGACGAACAACAGTAATACAAGCACCACGTGCATGCCCAGCGCGGTGAACTCGATTCACAATATCGGCAGCATGGCGGTGAACAGTATCAACAAGAGCAAAGTGGCGACGAAAGGCGGCCGCAAGTCCACCAACAAGGAGTCCCTGAACGGCCACGCGACCGACTCGAAGAACCTGCAGGAGGACTCGTCCAGCAGCGACCCGGACCGGAAGTCGCCGCCTAAAAGGAAGCCACCCAAGGTATCTATATGGATCGTATTCACAGGATGTTTCATAACTGGCGAGGAAAGGGGCGATCGCGGGACGATTTCTGTCGATGATAAATCGGATCGTTTCCGATCCGGCCCGCTGTTCTCACGGGAATCGTGACAATGTATCTTTTAGTCCCGTTATGAAACGTCCTGGCCACCAATCTCTTGGGCTTCTGTAAGCCGGCTGTTTACGTCTAGGAACGACCTATGATTTCGCAGTTGCACGTGTTATATATATATAGTACCATTATTGCATGCGCGAATAGATTATACCTCTCGTTAATTGCCAGCTGTACGGCTAATAGGCCGATTCGTAATTAATCGCCGCCTCGTCGGAACGATGTTTGTTCTACGGCGGTTCTTTTCTTTTCTCTTTGGCGTTCGAAAGAAAGTTTGATATTATGGGGATGGAAAATTCGTACATGGCTCCGTTTCCAAAAAGATATCGAGCATTCTGGCGCGCGTCGTTAATCGACTTCCTTAATTACCGTAAGAACGAATGGATAGATTTTCGAAATCGGTCTCCTTGGAATCGGAGCCTCGAGCGAAGAAATTTCTTTCGCTGATTTTACTTTACCTCGACTCACTTGAGATCACCTTTTTCTCGATTCCAAGAGCAGGAAAATTAAAATAACGGGATAATTTAAAAGAGTTTCTTAAAAGCGTCGTGATAAATAAATTACGCCAAGCTTTCGCGTATCTTGTACTAAAATAGTTAGAATTTCGAAAATGAAACAGGTGTTTGGTCACGTTGCGTTAGCTTCTCGTTTGTTTATCCACGCCAAGTAGGTATTGTTTGAATTTATAGGACGGTGATTGTTGTCTGTGCTTTTGAACACGTTTGCGAATCGAACAAAAAAAATTGGAACGGACTGTAACGACCGTTATCGCAACGGCTGTTGCGCTATTCGGTTTGAATTTTCCGCTCGTTGTGGCGCCATTTTGATAACACAAGCCGCACGCAGGAAGAGGCGGTCTTCCTATGATACGTTGGTGCAGTTGCTTCACGTTGATTTATCGAGTTTTCGTGTCAAATATATGTGCCTTACGCATTGTTATGATTCATGTGAGGCGTGCGACGTTAAACGGATAAAAATGGTAACGCATAGAACATTTTTAATTCAAGATATTCGTCTCTTACGCGAGAACATAACCTACACTCACATTGTCCGGGGACAGTTCTTTTTATCGATTGTTTGTGCAATAATTTCCCGTTGATTGTTGCCTCGTAACGCTATTAAACATTAACGGTCGTCCTTCGAATAATTTTTATTCGCGAAAGAACACGAATATTTTTCAACGAATACCTGCAATTATCGGTTACGTAGTACTTTCCTTTAGTTTTAAGTTCCAATTTTTCTGCATGCGTTTAGAATACAATTAGTTTCCAATTTTAGAGTTGCTTGTAGTAGGCCACTGTAAACAGAGTGTACACTTTGTCGAGGAGCTAAAGCAGAAGACACACGAGTCCATAGTTTTTTGGCAGTAGTTACGGCAAGAGCATGAACTTCCTGACTACTTAATAATCTGTGCCCTGTGGTAGGTAAAACGAAAGAAGGGCGCTGCACGGAGGCAGCAGACTACCGCGGAAGATCAGCGGAGACGGAAGGAAGACAAACAAGTAGGAGGAGCAGGTGTGGGCAGCGAGTCTAGCAACGAGAGCGAGGCTGGTTCAGCCAGTGACACCAGCGAACAGTTGGGTTCCATTCAACCTGCGTCAAGGGTGCGCCATACAGCAGCCAATTCCAACAATTCCTCGGGAAACGGTTAGTTGACGTAGCTTGTTGTAAATGGACTTCCCATCAGGTGAACTAACTATTCACTTGCAGGGTAAGTGGCCCGCGTTCCATGGTGATACGCTTACTCCTCTCTATAGAGCTGTACGGGAACCCTAAAAACTCAGGAGTAAACGTTCGATAAAAAAAAAACTACAAACACTTTTTTATCTACTTCAACTGAAAACCTACTGTTTGGTTTATACCTTGTAACTTTCTAACATCCTGACATTCTTTAGGTTCGCGAAGCTCTCTGGAATCTTTGTAATCCTGTTTCGCACACTTACCCTGTTTTGTTGAAAACTTTGCATTCACATTGTTATGAAATCGTTCAAATGATGACATGACCCATAATTGATATCCATGAAAGTTAATAAATGAGCTTTTTAACACTGACTATATTTAAATACCCTACATAAGCGATTATGCGACCACCAGGCGGGGTAATTTAAGGGGATACCGTTTTCTGTTTTGCAGGAAACAACAAGGAACCCAGGAAACGAGGCAGGAGACCAAAGACTACAAAAGGTAATGAGTTAGGCGGCGAGGACCAGCAACCGCGACAAAAGAAAGAACGCAGAGACGACAGCACAAGCGGTGGTAACAGTGGGCCAGGTGGTAGCGGCGGAAGGGGCGATCCCTTTCGCAGGCCACCGATATCGCAACTAAAGAAAACCGGTGACAGCTGGTTGCAAGATGGTGCTTGTTTCGAGGTCGCACCGAAATTGGCTAAATGTCGTGAGTGCAGATGGACACCGCACCAGCGCTCGAAAAACCTTCCACAAAATATTTTCTGCAGATTTTATGCATTCCGTAGATTACGGTACACCAAGACTGGACAATTGGCTATAGCTGGGTTCAGCGATCCGCACAAGGACGCATCCGAGGTGGGTTCACTGAAATTTACTTTCGTCTCAACTCTTTACCAGTAATGATTTTTTTTTAAAGATACTAAAAATATGTCTCTTTCACGTTACAGGTAGATCTTCGGTTGTGGTTACCAGGCAAAGATAATCTAGACTCAAAAAAAGATGAGAAATCAGATAAGAACGATAAAGAGAAAGGAGACAAAGAGGATCTGGACCTGGAGATGGCTCACCGACTGCTTCGGCAGGTCGGGGACCAGTTTTGCGATCTGCTCCACCAAGAGAAGGACGCTCTCCAACAGCACAAAGCAGAAGGTAAGCATCAAGCACACTCAATCAGAATCTTCCAAAATAACCAATGCATCAATATACGAGTCTGAGATATTCCATGCATGTTTGATAGCGTCATTGAAACAATTTCATTGTCATTCTATCTTAATATTTTTGTTTTATTGTAATTATCGTTACTCGTATGTATCACTACGTTTGCTTACTTGGATTTCCTTTGATCGCATGATTTAACGCTTCACGTATTCGATTGTTCCTTCACCATGACAGCAAATTCGGGACTTGTAGACGGAACGGTAGCTTGGAAGCGAGTGGTTCAGGGTGTTCGAGAGATGTGCGACGTGTGCGAGACCACCCTTTTCAATTATCACTGGGCCTGCGGCAAATGCGGTTTCGTTGTGTGCATCGATTGTTACAAGGTAAGCATAGTTCCCCATTCACTCTCTTACAATTCACATTCTTCGAACATGATGAAAAGTAAAAGAATCGAGTATCCGTGATAGAAAATACGAATCAACGAGCTTTTTAACACTGAACAATATCAGTACCAAACACGATACCATCAAATGTAACAAAAGCGCAATTGGTTGACCCAACTTTGTTCCAATTAGGGACGTAAGAATGGAACGATCAAAATTTGGGGTGAGAGCGGAAAGGACAGAGACGATTTCTCGTGGCTCTTGTGCACGAACAGACAAGTACACGAACCAGAACGACTGATGCTCACGCAGATTATCGCCGGCGATAGCCTGATACGTCTCGGGCAAAGGCTGCACGAGTGTCGAGCCGAGTGGGGGATTCCCCAGCACTGCGGCTGCTCGTTGGTCGTTCAAACATCTGCGAACGAGTTCCTGCGAGGTCTTATCAAGGGCGACACGGTGCCGGTGATGAACGGGAACGTGAAGCAGGAGGTGAAAGAGGAGAAGAAGGTGAACGAGTCGAACGGATCCTCGGAGAACAAGACCAATGGGGAGGACAAGAACTCGCCGTTGAATTGGCTGGCAGACGTTGCGCTGCAGAACCAGGACAAGAACGAGAGCGGCTCGAGCTCGGATTCCGACGAGGATCGGGACGGGAATTACTCGACACTTCGGGAGCTTTTGATCCGACCGTCGCACAAGTCGAACGGCAATGGGTCCAGGTCGAACTCGCCGACGAACAACGCGAGCAACGTGAACACTCCGACCGGGAACAACGGGCAGAACAACGTGACGAAGTCGAGCAAGAAGTCCAAGATGGATACCCTGGACGAGGTGATTTCAAGCGTGATCGAACATAGCGTGAAAAAGGAGAGGGAAGGTGGACTGGACGACGAGAAGCCGCGTGAGCTGAAGCACTTTGTCAGGCGATACAAGTGGACGCAGAAGGGCAGGGAACCGCTGCCGATCCGGATTATGACCTTGACCGAAAGCAAGAGCCTCTACCCGGACGTGCCGCACTCGTGGCTCTGCGACGGCAAGCTGCTAAGGCTAAACGACCCGAACAATCCAAACAACTACAGAATATTTCAAGATCAGTGGAAGCGGGGACAGCCGGTGATCGTATCGGACGTCGCCAAGTCCCTGGACATGAATCTCTGGCATCCGGACTCGTTCGCGAGGGACTTCGGCGACGAGAAGAACGATCTCATCAACTGCATGACCGGCAATCTGGTGCCGAATCAGCCGATGCGCAAGTTCTGGGAGGGGTTCGAGCACTTCTCCAAGAGACTGAAAGATGAAAGAGGGAACCCGATGCTACTCAAGCTGAAGGACTGGCCACCCGGCGAGGACTTTGCGGAGCTGTTGCCTTCGAGGTTCGCCGATCTCATGAAGGTGCTGCCACTGTCGGAGTACACCCATCGAAACGGCAGATTGAACTTGGCCAGTCGGCTGCCAGATTGCTTCGTTAGGCCTGATTTGGGCCCGAAAATGTACAACGCCTACGGGTCGGCCCTTCATCCGAACAAGGGCACGACCAACCTCCACCTGGACATCTCTGACGCGGTGAACGTAATGGTTTACGTGGGGATTCCGAAGGACTCCGATAACGACGAACACGTCAAAGGTATGTAGACATTGTCTTCAAATTTCGATGGATCATTCTGAATATGTTCTTACACGTTTTTTTTTTTTTTGTCATTGCAGAAGCACTGAGAGCGATAGACGAAGCAGGCTGTGATATCTTGACGAGGCGACGTGTCCGTGAACGAGGAGAGGCGCCCGGTGCTTTGTGGCACATCTACGCAGCCCGAGACGCTGACAAAATTCGAGATCTGTTGAACGCAGTGTCCTTGGAACGCGGGGCCCGTTTGGAACCCCATCACGACCCCATCCACGATCAGAGTTGTTATCTCGATGGACCGTTGCGGGAACGCTTGTATCGCGAATACGGCGTCGAAGGGTAATTATTTAGCCGATTGTCGTTAGCGATACGCGCAGTAAAGAAGATCGCCGAAATTAATATTTATCTTATTCTTCGCAGGTACGCTATCGTCCAGTGCCTAGGCGACGCAGTATTCGTGCCAGCTGGCGCACCACACCAGGTCCGAAATCTCCACAATTGCATCAAAGTAGCGGAGGACTTCGTCTCACCGGAGAACGTCTCGCACTGCTTCCACCTGACACAGGAGTTCCGGGCGTTATCGGACACACACACCAACCACGAGGACAAGCTGCAGATCAAGAACATCATCTATCATGCGGTAAAGGATTCCCTGACCGTTTTGTCGAACGTGAAGGAGGAGACTCTTGCCAAGCCGAAAAGCAACAACGAGATCAAGAAGGAGGAGACGTAGCCCTAGGCCCCCTGTCGCGGTCGCAAGAACCGTTGTTGATTAACTTTGTTCGACGAAAATCTCACTGTTGCAGTGAGTGGGAACTTGTTGCCGCCCCTCCGCGCTCTCCCGAAACGCGCGCTGCGTTGTAACATACACATTATACACATACAAACGCGAATCGTAAATTCGGGATAACGGGAGGATCCTTGATGATTCGCGAATCCTTCGAAGAAGAAGAAGAAGAAAACCTGTACCGAGGTGCAAGAATTTGTTGTGATATTTGACGAGTAACTCAAAAGTTTGATTTAATGAGTATTGGCTGAGCCAATGGAAATGAGCGCGAGAATGCGTGACGTGGAAAAGGAATATTCGTTGTTTCATTTGAATGTCCTTTTTACGTATATATATATATGTATCTGTAAATATATATGTATGTATACATATATATGTATATATATGTGTGTATTTATGTATATGTATATATATAAATATATTTTTTTTCTGTTTCCTTTCTCGAGTAAACGCGAGCTGGACGGACATGAAGTCCCCGGCGAGTATTTTGCATTGAAGCATTGGAGGCCGGTGACACAGACCGAGAATCGCGCACCGCGGCGTCCATTTACCAATTGTGATACCGGGAATGAGGACTTTGGATCATACATTATTTGTAATTACTTATATCGTGCCTGTATTCAATACATACTGTCTATATTATATAAAATGTAGATAATCGATTTTACTGTGTAATGAATTCTTACTATAGCAAGTAAACGAGAGGATTGTCTAGAGGTACCTTTGTGCAATTAGATGTCGAATTAACAAAAAAAGAAAAAAAGAAAAAGAGATGGGCGATACACACACCGCCCCGGAACGATTAAAAAGGATCGCAAAAAGCAACATAAAGGAGAAAGGAGGAACGTATCGTGTCGTTCGTTTAGAATGGATCAGTGATAATTGTCGATCCCGTGACCGTGCTCTCGTGATCTGGTGCTTTTGGTATATTCGATTGTATTAAAGACAACAAGGGGAGGATGAACGATGATATTTCGAACAAGCGCTTTGCCAAAAAAAAAAAAAAATAATGGCCGATATATGTTTCTCGCCTGCGATGTTCTTGCGTGCCGGGCGTTAATGGTCGCGCAAGAATTTAAACACTGCCTAACCCATTGTCCGCGTCAGTCCAGATAACAAATAAGGTATAACACGGAATTTAATTGCGCGCGTCGTGTACGTTAATCTCTCTCTCGTTGCAGTGTTCGGCGCACCCGGGAACGATAAACACGGTGTTTCGGTTTTGTCTGTCCCTCTTCTTCGAAAAATATATCGGCTATAAACGGGAGCAAAGTAACGGTACGCGTTTCGCGCGCGTGACGAGAGAAAAAAAAAGGTTTGTATCGCTTGTCGTTTTTGAAAACAGAGGCATCAGAAGCAAAACGGGGAAAAGTAACAAAAGCGGAACACTTGAAACGGAGAAACAAATTTTCGTCGATATTAATTATTATTATTATATTGTCCCCGTGAGGACCGCGAGATCGAGAACCACGCCCTCCCTGTACAGACTCGATTAAATTTAATGTTTTTATAGATTGGATTTTGACGTTGTGACCCAGTGATGCGACCCAGTTTAACAAGGGGTAGAGAGAAAACGGAAACAAATCGGGGGAAAGAACCGTGAAATCTGTTATTTTTGTCAAATCACGCAATGAAGAGCCGTCTATCCGAATAGAGAACAGCGATATTCTAATTGTATTGTAATTAGTAAGCTAATAACTGTCGTAAACGTTATTTAACGCGAGGTGTAAAGGTGTAACACACAACTCTCGAAGTGCCAATGTTTTGAACGACGTGGAGATTCTCGCGTGGTTTGCAAGCAAACACAGAGGAGAAAAAAGAAAAGAAAGGGAGAAACGAAGAACGGATTTTAGTCATGCAACAAGCCGCACACAGATGACAGGGCTCAGTTCCTATCATTTTAGAACCAACGTTGTTCGCGTTCTTCACGTTCAAAAAAAGCTCGCCCCCCATCTGACCTCGAAAGCCGTCGTCCGACCGCGATGTTTTCGTTTTTTTTCTTTCTTTTTCCGAACTTGAACCGTTCGCTCCACGTTCTAACGCGCTATATTATCCTATCCGGTCGTTTGTCACATTATTTCACGCTTCTGCTTAGAAGTTCCAGCGAAGCTCGTTCACTCATTTGTTGAGCCCGAAGAAGATTGTTTCTGATTTTCAGCTCGGCTGTGTCGAACGGTTTCAATGAAAAAAGGGGGAAGGCGACGGCTTTGGAGTGCGGACACGCGCACGTAATTAAACCGCGACACGCTTATCGATCGTCGAACGTTTTACACCACGGCTAAGATAATCTCGAGACCGAAACCTCGCGAGAGAGGGAAACGAAGGAGAGAGAGAGAAAAAAAAACGAGGAAACCGATGAACAAATCACTGGAAAAATACCCTGGAGACCCGCAATTTCTTTGATCTCAACATTCGTCTAGCATACAACGACTTGATTAAAAGTAATATTTAACGAGTAAATTTTTAAATATCCTTAGTGTCGATAAGAGTAACGTTAATGTTAACGGGAATAATAAGTAAACGGGACAGAGCAAGAAGAGGAAACCGGAGAAGTACCCTTTTATTGATTCACGAGTGTGTCGATGAAGATGATGATGATGATGATGATGATTATGGTAATGATGATGTTGATGAAACGATGAACAATGATGATGATGATGATGATGGTGGCGATGATGATGTATAAAGTTATAGAGAGGATGAGAAAGAAGCATACTCTGTGTATTATTGCTGCAGACAAATTTATTATTTGCCCCCCGGTCCCCTTCCCCCTCCCCCCAAAAACCCGCTACGTGTATGTAAATACATTTATACATACATATATGTATACATATATACATATATAAATACGAAGAGGAAAACGTAGAATTTAAGGGAAACACACTCCACAAAACATGGACAAACAGGAAGAAAAAAAAAATCATACACTTTACACGCGTAGATAGATAGTTTATTATACCATTATTAATTATTATTAATTATTATCATTATTACGATTAATTATTACGGAGGAATATCGATATTTAAATGTTGCTGAACTACGCGGCGATGAGAAGAGCACGATTAAACGAACGAGAGCGAGAATATTGTAGAGTGTGCAAGCGAAAGAGAGAGAGAGAGAGAGAAAGTTTCGAAATGATTGTTTCTGTGTGTGCGCGTATGCGTGTGTGTGTGTATGTGTGCGATCGCAAGTGCGCGCGTATGTTGTTTTTTTGATCGAACTTCCGGAAGGATGCGCGAGAGAACAAGGGGCCGTGTATTGGGGGCGGAGTGGAACGGATGATCAGACAAATTGTACAGCCCTTAGCTCCTATCGAAATCTATCCACCCCCAAAAAGTCCCGCACCACCCCACCACCGGCTGCCCCCAGTCATAGCAATTATGAACCGCGGGCCGGCAGGTCTGAGTATAATTTTTTGTACTGTGTAAATGTAAGAACATACGTTTGAATAAGAAAAATGTTTATATTACAAAAAAAAACAAACATCGACGGACCACCACCAATCAATCGACCGAATCCTCGTCGGCATGCGCGCCGGATCCTCTCGAGACCATATGCGACACTCACACAGTGGCGTCGTGCTTAAGTTTATTAGCTGTTCGAACCGTGTCGAACGAGAAACGAATACGCGAAGATTAAGCGGAATCGCGTATAAGTCAGTCGGTCGGTTCTCTATTATTCTCGCTACCCTGGTGAGTCACGGTATCCACAACACCTTTCCACGTACGTTCATTCTTCTATTACCTTTCCAGGAGCCTCGTTAACGAAAACGTAGCCGCGATCGATGCATTTTTCAGAGGATCCAGGCCACCGCGAACTTCGAAAGTTGATCTCATTATGGGACTTGTTGCATCGACGCGGACGCGCGGTATAACTTGTTGCTCCTTGGCAAAGATTCAATAGCAATTTCTCACTTCTTTCACGGCTAGGGTAGGCAAGGTTTCCAGGGACGCTGGCGACCTTGCCCGCGCGAACATACTTGCCGGCTCATAACAGGCGACGACATAAACGAATCTCGGACGATACACGTAGAAGGTGTTTCTCAATATGATATAAATAGTCGCGCGGGTCGAGGGGAGTGCTCGGAGCAACGCATCTAAAGTTAACGATGACGATAAGGAGAGGAGGAGGAGGGGACGTCTGATGAGGAATCAGCTGGGATCAGTGGGAGTGGCTGTAACGTAAGAATGAGCAGAGGAAGAACTCGTTTTCCATTCATAGATCCCACACGCGTCCACGGCGAAACTTTCCGATTCGAATTCGAGAAGCGTTATCCGTGGAAAAATGAGAAAGTGGACTTATTAATTCGCGAACGAAACCGAGTGCATCGTGGCACGTGTCGATAAGACAGCACACGGTGCTCCAACGAAGATCCTAATCTTCGATCGGGTCGAATGTCCCGTTTCAATCCTGCGGGATCACGGCGACGCGGCTATGATGCCTTTTGACGATGGCTATACACTACCAATGATAGCATATATCCGGCGCGAGGAGGACAGGCAACCGATAAAACTGGTGTAAATCTGTAGCTAATGGCATGTAGCGCGCGACAGACCCGACCGCTTTCGAAATGACGATTACTCATCGCGTTCAGAATTTCCAAGCGAGAGATAAATTAACCGAAGAGAAGAAGTCTTTTTTCATTAAAGCAGCCAGGTGAATTAACCGTCAACCGTGTACCGGCAACCCATTCGCAGTGTCAATCTCATTAACCGCGTCATTTTATTTTTAAAACGTTTATTTTTAACTCGACATGATCAGTATGGAAAGACTTATCTTGCACCTTCCAAGCTTTCTCCAAATTCTTGTCAAGAAGTAATAATAGGCAATTTTTTACTTTTAAATGTTTCTAAACCTTAGTACCATTGAAAACGATATTCATCTTTCAGTTGTAAACAATAATCGTTTCGGTAGAAATAAAAGAAGTCCCATTTAGTGCGCTTGCTGTCGCCAAATAGGACCACTTATGCTTGTCAGACTGACACAAAGAGACCACGACGAGTTGTGAAATCATTTCTACCGGTAAATATCCTCAAATCTCCGCTCTATCGAATCCACTACTCGATTTTTAGCTGCGGTCATTAATCCAACAAGAAAATATTCTTCGTTTCGAGGTTTTAGACCCAATTGGCGCCCGAATTCGCGTTTCCCGGCCGACCTGGTTTACGTTTCTCTCACAGATACGACGAAACCGCGACGAGTTACCAAATAATTTTTACCGGTAAATCTCCCAAAATCTCCGCTCTATCAAAGCCCGTCCGTCGTTTTCGCTTGCACGCATCGTATAAACAAAGAAACGGTAATTTTTCTTGCGAGTTCTGGGTCCGGCCGACCCCTGAATTCATGCATCCCGTCGAACGGTCCCCCCCACCATCGTTCCGAGAGACGCCTAAGGCCTACGGCAAGGTATTGCCACCAACCCCCTACCACTCGGTAAAACTCCGTGACACCCCTTATGGACCAGGCAGTAGCGCGTGGTACAGTGTGTCACCTACACGGGTCGTGCAGCCTGCGTTCAAGATGGCGCTGAACTTGTGCCGAGAAAGACGGCGATCGAGCGTCTGAACGGCGGCGAGGAGAGAGAGAGAGGCGCACGGGCACATTCGTGTGTTCGCTATATCGTGGTGTCGAGAGCGTCGGACAATGAACGTGAGTCGGACCGATCTATCAGTCGACCAAGTGACTCGGACCGGCCGTCGATCGCGAGTACCCGCTTGAATACGCGAGTACCCGGGAGCAGAAGGGAACAACAAGCGGGTCGTGGCACAAAATGTGGCAGTGGATCGTGGGACTAGCCTCGAAAATAAGTATCCGTTAGCGAGAGTGGTGCGCGGTTTTTTGTCGGTTATGTCAGTGCGCGTCAAGTCAAAATGGCAGCCACGTTAACCGTCGAGCAGGAACAGGTAAGGGCGACAACGACCGATCGATCCTTTCCGTCGGATATATTCGAAAACCGTTTTCGTCGATCGGAGGGACAGTGCGACCTCGGACGCATTCCGGACGTGTTTACGGCGAGTAATATAAACACGTCGCTCGTTTCCTCGCTATCTTTATTTCTCCCTCGTCATCTCTCTCTCTCTTTCTCGCTTTATCTCTCGCTCTCTGTCTTTCTCTCTCTCTCTCTCTCTCTCTCTCTCTCTCTCTCTCTCTCTCTCTCTGTTAATCTACGTGTCTCCGTCTCCGTTCGTCCGGTTCTCCGAATTCTCTCTTTTTCTCAACAAAATTCGAGCCGAAATTGCGCGACAATAGGAACCGGTATCCGCTTGAACCGCTTCCGTGGATATCTCGCGCCGATTATCCCATTCGAGACCAAGCATACGCGATGCTTGTTGAATGCGCGCGACGGCCAGCGGATTTTCGCCGAGCCTCTCGCGTGCGTACGTCGACGTTTGATCGTCGACGGTTTCCCATTCAGCCAGCAGACACTGTCATCGGCGGGAATAACGTCGAAGCCGCGGCCGTAACCGCATCCGCGCCGGGTCTCGGTTCCTTGTCTCGCCTGCGCCGGGAACCGGCCCGAGGAAACGAGCCTCGTGATAAATTAATGCTGAAACGGCGGACGAGCCTGAACACTCTTTTTTTCCCGTTCCGTAAACACCGCCGGAACCGGGGGAACCGCGGGAAAGAGAGACGGGAGGACCGCTTCAAGAGGGAAATGAAAAATGCAAGAAAATCGATACGCGTCCGACGGCGCGCGTACACTGCCGTTCAAAAGTACGCGGACGATGTTCGGTGATCTGTGAATGTACCGGCCTCTGCTGCTGCTGCTACAGAAATTCGAACGCGAAATTCGCCGACAAGTATCCTTTAGCGGAGCCATGCGTTGCTTTTAACGTTTCCAGCCGCCGGAAGTTGTTCAAAAGCTGCGCCGTATTTTAACGCCTAAGTCTACCGTGACGGTCGAAATGACAGGCGTCGTCGCATTTTCTGTTTGAGAATCGTCCGAATCGCAGGTAGCTACGTCGGTCACTTTTGAATCGTAACCGTGACGAAAATGCTCGTGTATCTCTTCGCTTACAATTGCTAAAGTTTCAAAGGTGCAGTTTTCGTTGTCAGCAGCTTGAAAGAAAAGCCGTTGCTTTTCGCGAGATTTTGTTGTCACGGTCGTGTGCCGATCGAATATTTGCTGATATACAGGGTTCCCCGGAAAGAATCATCCGATTTCAAAAATTTATATTTTAAAAAATTACACACAGAAAATTATGATTCAAACACGAATATAACGGGAAAATGTGTGAGTTTTTGTTTACAAGTGTTCAATACGACCTCCTTTCGTTACACGTATGATATCATTGCGATATGAAAGTTCTTGCCAAACACGGTGTAATGTATCTCTGGTAATTGTTTGTACAGCATCACAAATGCGTTTTTTTCAGTTCATTTACACTTGTAGGTAAAGGTGGTACAAAGACAAGATCCTTCACAAATCCCAAAGGAAGAAGTCGCATCGGGTTAGGTCGGGTGATCTCGGAGGCCAACTGTGTAGAACCATATTATCGGATGAACTGCGACCAATCTAACGGTTTGGTAGTTCCGTGTTAAGAAAATTCCGAACCTCCAAGTGCCAATAGGGTAAAAAGTAAAACTCGCACATTTTCCCGTTATATTCGTGTTTGAATTATAATTTTCTGTGTGTAATTTTTTAAAACATAAATTTTTGAAATCGGATGATTCTTTCCGGGGAACCCTGTACGCGTTTGAGAAACGGTGCAGAATTCACAGCAGAATTAGCGTCCACGCGGAATGCAGTTTTGCGCGAACGACGACGTTTTCCGTCGGCGGTGTTTCCCGTCGGCGACGATGCCGGCCGTAATCGCGGTCGTTCGTCGCGGCGACGGGCACGGGGAGTGAGGGGAATTTAACCAAAGTATCGATTCGCGATATTAAGTTTCTTCTTGACCCTGGAAGCGAACCTATCCGTTTACCGTGGCCGCGCGGTCCCCGGCGAGCGTACTATGGCGGAAGTGGCCGGTGGGGAGGCAGTCGGCCACCGGAAGTCAGATCGGTACTCAGAGCATGTACACAAATCATTGACGAACGACTGTCGCGCGTTTCGAAAGCGTAGAAACGCCGTGAGACCGTTCGATCATTTTAAACGCCCGTGGACAGACTTATTCGCGATTAATTAGCGGTGGAACCTCTCGGCGAATGAATGCCCACTTCCGGCGATTGTTGATTTCACACCGGTCGGCCGCGGAAAATTCTAACCGACCTTTCCTTCTATCTTTTCACGACCGAGCCGATCTTCTTTCTCAGCCCCACTCCGGCCGGAATAAAATCGCAACTTTCGACCGTCTGCTACCTGTCTGCGGATCCTTCCGTCATTTATCACCGGGTTCTGTTGCTTCTCCGCAACACCTGGCTCCTGTCGCCATTTTTAACGCGTTGAATGCCGCGCCGGTTTTACAGAAATTGTCCGCGGCGTCACGATGAATTTTCTTTCATGCGATACATACAATGTTGAAATATTATATTATAGATAATTATTAGTGTATATAAATATTATATTATAAATATATATATTATAGATAAGTTACAGTGTATAACCATGTTTGATATCAATTTGGGCGCGCCGGTCACCGGTGGCCCCCGTGGCGTCATCGCAAAGTTAAGTGCCGGTCACCGGTGACCTCCGTGGCATTCAACGTGTTAAATCAAGTTCAAGGGCTGGTACACGCGTCGCTGTATAGTCCCTTTTTTTTGTAATATTTCCTGAGAAAATATTGATTCGAGGAACTGTCTTGCCCAATATTGTATTATATAATATAATATTATTTATTATTTTCTATATATTATTTTATATTATTAATAAAATAATATTTATAATTTATAATATACAACCTATAATATTTATAATTATAAAATAATATATTTATATTATTTTATATAATATTATTATCTAAAACTAGCCCCTCCGGCTTCGACCGGCTCAACGATTGTCTCAAGAGTAACCGTGCATTGTGTTTCAATTTAAAGGCCACGAAAGAGTTTATAGAGGCAGTGAACAAGTGCCGGGCAGGCAGGAGGGCCGGTCCAGTGTCCTGGAGCACGGCAGTGAAGTTCTTAACGGCTAGGAAGTTCGAGGTGGCCAGGGCCTTAGCTCTCTACGAGCAGCACGAAGCCACCAGGAGGAGAGAGGGTCTGGCTCTTCTGCATCCCACTCAGGAACCGTTGCTCAGCGAATTACGCACAGGAAAATTTACAGTCCTGGTAAGAGGAACGACGCCCGATTAACAAAGAAACCGAGAACCGAACAAAACCGTTCTTTTTTCTTTTCTTCTTTTTTTTTTACTGTAACGCCGACTGAATCGATCCGTTCCGTGCACGTTAAATTCCAGCCTTCCAGGGACGGCACAGGGGCGGCCATAGCGATCTTCACGGCGCATCTGCACCTTCCCCAGAACACCACGCACCAGACAACCCTGCAAGTGAGTAATCCATAATCGTTTCGAACCCGGCTGGCCCGACGTCGATGCAAATTAGAGACCCGGCGACAAGAGAGTTTACAATTCCCATTTAGCATCGGCAAACACACAATGCACTTCGATACTGAATAATAAGGGATGATGCAACAAGTCGACGCCTAATAGGCCGCTTTTGTCACAAGACGCCTCTAACAATGGAACTTTCTCTGTTGCGTTCGCCAGGGCGTTGTGTATCAATTGGACGCGGCACTCGAGAGCGCCGAGACCCAGAAGCATGGGCTGGTCTTCATCTACGACATGTCCGACAGCAAGTACCAGAACTTCGACTACGACCTCTCGCAGAAGATCCTCACCCTGTTGAAGGTGAGTAACGTGAACAAACATTGCCCCGCAGCTCTACTGCAAATCTCTCCACGATCTCTCATCTTATCGTTCTCGGTGCGCGATCTTCGCGACATCCGACAGCAGGCAGGAACCGCTTCGAACAATCGACTTTCTCGGAAGCGAACCTTATCGTTCTTATACGCAACACGCGAGACAACACGTTCGCACGATTAGACCCGACGGATTCGAGCGACCGCGCGACGATCACGTTCACCTGGCCCGTTTCGACCGCGTCGCGTTTCGAGACCCGGATCTGCCGGAGCCTCGTGAAACAGAGGGGCCTCCGTCGCCGCCAATTGATCGCTCCAAATATGGCCCATTATCTATCGCGCAGGAAATTAAATCAACATCTTTGCCTTTTATTCTTACTGCGAACGGAATCAGGACGCGTAACGCCACGCGTGGCCGTCGTCGGTGCGCGAAAGCGCGCACCGAAATAACGTAGAAATCGGTTGCGGAAAACGCGCGCGCGTCGTGTTTTCTTTCTAATTTCCACGTTCCGGTGAACGAGCTTGCTTCACGGTGGATAACAAGCGACGGGAACGTTTATTAGATTATAATTCGAACGCTTCCTGAAACGGTCGAGGGGCGTCTCCTACGTAGCCGCGATCGTGTCGCAGATTATTATTCCGGATTACGCGAATCGCGGAGGGGTAGTTTTCAGGGGCACGATCCACTCGGAAATCATCGATCGGTCCCCGGCCCCTCGCGAACGCCGTTCGAAGACACCGGGTATAATGGAGGGTTAGGGGCACGTAAAGTGATTCCGGAGCGTCTCGTGCACGGAGGGGTGCATCTCAAAGAACAGGAAAGCTTTAAGGGGGGTTGTTCACGCTCGACGAAAACCTCTGGGCTGCAATTGCCCAGTGAACCGCGGCGGCAATGGGCTCTCCTCCGCCAAGGGTGTCTCAAAGGTTTCGCCGGAATGACTCAATTATGGGGTACTTACGGGGCCACTATTTATAACGAGGTGTTTGCGTCACCGCGCGTCCACGATAAAAATACTGTCTCCGCGTTTAGCCGGTTGTTTACCAGGAAGCTCGTGCAACCGAGCCTCGCTTTTCCTGCTGGAGAACCCTGCGCCGTTCCCGTCACCTCCGGGAAACAGTGTCTGTGGCGGAAAGGGAAACGACGCCGCGACGCTTCTGTTCCGATGCTTTCCACCTCGCATAATAGCGCGCCGATACTCTTTCGGTTCCGCTCTATTATTCGCATTTATGCTGCACGATCGCAACCCACGTACCCCCCTTCCCTCCCCTCTTCTCACCCGCCCCCTCGCCGAGCCGGCTGAAACTTCCACGACGATGAAACTCCGCTCTTTTCACCGGCCACCTGATTGATAAATTGCCGTTTGAATCGCGACCGCCCGCTCGAATACTCGCTTTCTCGGTGTTTCCACGCCAGTGGAGTTCGTGCTGGCCGACAACTATCCGCTGATCCTGCGATTTCCATCGGCGGTGGTTTTTCGACTGGCGCGGCAGTAGATCCGGACGACCATGGTCGGACAACAGCGCGTGCGAGAACTCGCGGCGCGACGATATTAATCGTTATCTGTTGGCGCTGCGATTTCTTTCACAGTCGACTGACGCTTCTTGCTTGCCAACCTTTGCGATTGTGAACGTGTCGGTTATGGTTTTCATGCGTTTCTGGGAAAAATGGGTGCGTAACGTTGAGAAGAAGGAACTAAAGAATTGTTGGTGCGAAGGTTCGAGCTTGTTGAGATTGTTAGAGGAAGAAATCAGATTCTAGTTTCTAATTCTATTTTTTATATGCCGCAATCGATGCATAAAATTTCTATTTTGCACAATGATCCTCGGTAATGATTGTTTTAGAAAAGGAATTTATGTTTATCGCGAGACTGCGTTTACTCGAACGCTAAATTATTGGCAACTAGAGAATAAAATCTCGTATTCCGGTGCGAAGTTAACGAATTTCCTTTTCGATTGTGAACGTGTCGACTATGGTTTTCATGCGTTTCTGGGAAAAATGGGTGCGTAACGTTGAGGAGAAGGAACTAAAGAATTGTTGGTGCGAAGATTCGAGCTTGTTGAAATTGTTAGAGGAAGAAATCGAATTCTATTTTTTATATACCGCGATCGATGCATAAAATTTCTATTTTGCACAATGATCCTCGATAATGATTGTTTTAGACGGAAAAGGAATTTACGTTTATCGCGAGACTGCGTTTACTCGAACGCTAAATTATTGGCAACTAGAGAATAAAATCTCGTATTCCGGCGCGAAGTGAACGAATTTCTACGCGATACAGAAAATTCGTATCTGTTTGTCTACGTGATTCGTAACAGCGGAATGTCAACGGTATCAAAGTAGAATTTTATTTCCGTTTCGCAACATCTATATTCGGTAGATTACGTTGGTTTTCGTAACGTGTAACCTTGACACGTTGCTACAGCGGCAAGGGATTAATCTTTAGCCGCTGTGCTCGGAAATAAATGTGTTCTGTTTCGGTGTAATCCCGGCTTGCTGAACAAGTTTTATTTATCTCCCGCGTGGGCAGTAGACTTGTTCATAAATTATTATTTTAGGACATGTCTGCGTAGGCAGACAAGGGATAAACGTTTACTATTCTATGTATAATCCGTCCAACGAGACGAGACGACGACTATGAACAATCGCATGGCGACCGAGAGACGTGCACGATTGAGAAAGATCGATCGACCATAAGTTCAACGGTCGATCATATACGGCGACGTTAATTTTTTTTTAACTAGATACACGTTTTTATTGTAACAGATTCGAACAAACTGAGTTTTATATATAGTATATATATTTAATAATAATTTAATAATTTATATATTTTATATATATATATATTTAGATTGCGAAATAGTTGACATTTTATCTAACGGCAGCTTTCTAATAATTCCCTTGAAATCGAAGGTCAACAATTCTTTAAAAAATTGAAATTAAAACAATAATCCACGATTCAAACAATTATTTAGATTATATATAATATAACAAGCATAATATAATAAATATAATTTAATCCTTCACGTTCTAAGGTAATTTTTACATCAACAAAGTTTACATTTAAAAGATTGTTATATTCGTATGCGTAAAATGCACTTTGTCGTGTAAAACAAAAATACTATGAGTCGGGAAAAATAATTTTAGATTTACAGTTAAAATAGCTTCGAGTGCAAAGGGTTAAAACAAGTTCGTTCGACATTGCTATTTCAAAGCATAATTATCGCGCTTCTGTTAGACACACTGTTGAAAAGTCTATCGATAAATAAAGTATAAAAATACCATCCGCTATGGTAAATATTAATTTCCGTTTCACCGATCGAGCGAACTTAAACTTCGAAAGCAATTGTTTAGCTTGATTTTCGGCGCTCTCGTGCCGATCGCGCAGCGTTTGCCCGCATTTCCCCGTTCGTATCGCCGAGCGGCCTTTACGTAAACCGTTCATTAAAAAGCTGGCTTACACGGTGTATCCTAGTTCATCGTAATCACTTGAAGCATCGCTCGAGAAAAGGCGAGTTTCGCCTCTAAAAAAGCCAGCCGTCGTCCTTGGAATCAATAGTCTTCCCAGAGAGAGAGAGAGAGAGAGAGAGAGGCAGCAGCCCCGGCGGCGATGTGTCTCCTATTTTCGAAAAATCGATTTTTCGAGCGGCGTCGAGCCAGGTGCACGCACGTCGGCCCGACAACATCCCCCTTAAATCTTGTTCGAGTAAAGCCGGGGCGCAGGGGTTGCTCTGGTCGGTTAGGGGTTGCTTGCCCGTCACCCCCGGTAAGTGTCTCGTTGAGAGACCCTGGTCGCGATACGTCACCGAACGCACACAGGACCGCCGCGAACCCCGCCGGGCAGAAAGAAATTTCACATAAGGGATGGTTGGAGGCACAGCGGCCGAGAGCGGCGGCGAAAAGAAGGGGTCGGTTGGCGCGCATGCGTTCGTACGCAGGAGAGCATCGCGACGCTCGCGGTCAGTAATCATCGTGACCCCTTTGCGGCGTTATCGCGGACGGATCGAGAGAGAGAGAGAGAGAGCGAGAAGAAACGAAGAGAGGTCGGCAGTCGTCCGATTTCTTTTCTCCGGCGGTGCCCCGGCTCTCCGCGTGCTCTCCGTTCCTCTTTCGAGCCTGATTTTCACCTGGTTCCGCCGCCGTCTCTACCCGTCGCCAGGCCGAGGCCGGAGCCGCCGCGGAAGTTGGTCGTCGCGCGATGTTCGACGGACACGCGTCACCACCGTCCTCCTCGACGTCCGTTCGATCCGTGTCAAGCGTGCGAGCTCGGTTACGCTAATTCCGCGCGGTATCGATTGACTGACCGAGTGCCGGCAGTGATTTTTCGATCGCATCGACGCCCCCCATACGGTCTCTCTAAGCTCTCCCGACCCGGGACCGGAACCCAGTGTGCGCTAGTGCTACGACTTGGACTTGGCCGAACCCGGCTGCGAGGATCGATGGCCGATCGACGAGCACTCGGCCCGGTGCATCCGCGTAACAGAACGCTCTAATCTATCGATTCACCGTCTCCCAGCCCCCGCTATCTGTCCGGATCGCCGAATCTGCCCTGCTGATTGCCCCGGATCTGTAACGGGCTCGACGACCCCGGCCAAAAAACCCGCCGGAATAATCGGATCGGAGACCTTTTCTGCTGCTGCTGGTGCTGGTGCTGGTGTTGGTGCTGCTGTCGCTGCCGCCGTTGGCTCGGCTGGTTCCCGACGTAACGGGGTTTGTGTGCTTAAGATCGTGGAGATGTAGTGGCGTGCTGCTGACGTCGTTGCCGTTACGGTTACTTCCGCCCTCTATACACACCACGAGAGAGGGTACGGAGGGTTAAGTTCTCGTGCCTGCTGCATTTTGCATGCTCCACATCGGGAAACATTTTTCTTCTACTCCACCCTACCTCCTCTCTCTCTCTCTCTCTCACACACTCTCTTTCTCTTTCTCATTCTCTTTATCGCATTGTCCTCGAGACTTTTTCCGTTGACCTCAAAATTTCATTGTGCCCCGTTTCGTCGACTGAATTATTGCTGCGGGCGTTTACCAGCTGGCTGTTTTCTTATTAATCCCTCCCCGGAGGCCTAGCCGGGCTCTAATGCTGGCTGTCTCAGGGAACGACGGACCTGTCCGCGCATTAAACGTGCATAGAGACACCGCGGACCGCCTCCTCGCAGTTGGCACTAGCTCCCGGCTTATAAACCCCGGTGTGTGCTATTATTGCAACGTCTTTGAAAGGTCGCTCCGTTTCGAAAATAAATTATGCAGTCACCTGAACCGATCGCTTTTTAATACCGCAGCGCCTCATTTTTTTTCTCTCTCTCTCGCTCTCCCTCTCCTCTTCCTCCGCGCTGCACCGCATCGCCGGATGTGCGGTGCGTACGTCGCCCGAGGAAGACACATTCGCCGCGGCACCACCACCTCGAGCATGCTCCTCGTCGCATTGTGCGAACGCGTTAGTGTCGCATTAGTGTCGATTACTTCGCGTTTTCCGTTGCCGGCGTCGTTCGGGCCTCGGGAAACAGAAGGTGTTCTCTCGCCGCTGAACGATATTCCTCCTCTGTCATCCCCCTCCGGCAGTGTCGTCTCCTTCGAAGCAGTTAGCGAGACCCGGTCGGCGGAGAATCGTTCGTCGACGTGCCGAGACGGTGTTCTTGAATCTTTCGGTCGAAGCGTGGACCGCGGGTCCAACGATTAAATAGAGCCTGCCGGGCGTCCATCTGGCAGCTGAAATAGCGGTCAAGTGCAGTTGTCGCATCGGGGGCCTCGAGCACAGTAGTTCAGACATCGTGTGGGACACGATGACGATCCGAGCGTAGCACCGGTCGTGTTCGCTGGAAGCCGTTTTGCACAGTGGAATTGTATTTGGTTTTCCAGGGCGGCTACCCGGCGAAGCTGAAGAAGGTGTTAATCGTGACCGCGCCGCTCTGGTTCAAGGCGCCGTTCAAGATCCTGCGGCTGTTCGTCCGCGAGAAACTGCGGGACAGAGTGTTCACCGTATCGATTCCCCAATTGACGTTACACATCCCACGGGAATCATTACCGCACCGGTTGGGGGGCACCTTGGAGGTACAGCATGAGGCATGGTTGCTCCACTGTCTTAAATCCATGACAAACAGAGGCGGGGGTGAACTTTGCGAGGTCAGTGCCGCGTACGCGAATACACCCGCGCCGATTGCCGAACTCGCGGCTGAAACGCGGTGATACTCCGGAGAATTCTCGTCGCGTCCCGGATCTCACCGAGCCGTGCCTCCGTTTCGCGGGACTAATCGATTCGACCGAGAAACGACCGCCTCAAATTAGCTTAGAGTTCAAGATTTCTTCCGGCGACGTTGAATTAGAGGCTCTTTAGGCGCGCCGGGCTCCGTGAAAAAAGCTGCTCTCCCGGTCCGCGAGGCTCTCGGAGAGCGCGAGGCTCCTAAACAAGAGACCTCTGCTTGTCCGCGGACAAAAAACGGTGGCAAGGTCGCCGCGAGTAGCTCTTTCCCGGAGGCGTGAAAGGTTGCCAGCTTGTTTTTTTGGTAAATGGTCCTCCGGTAGCGAAAAATTGTCAGCGAATCGGTTCGGCAATCGGCGGGTCGAAAAAGAGGTCGTGGAATGATCGTAAGGCGGACATTTGCTTGCACAGGTTACCCCCAGAGTGGGTAGTCCTCTTTCGCCCACATCGAAAAACCACACGGCCGCCCAGAACCCGAATGGCACCACGGTCAGTAGCTCGACTAGTCCTATAATCGATAAGAGCAAGGTGAAAAATGGTATCTCGAATATCGGGGACATCGAGATCACGAATGGTGACGTCTGGATGGGAACCGATGAGGCGCCGTCACCAGTGCAACCGCCGTCCTCAGCCAGTTCAGGGTTCAGCGATGACGACAGCCTCCACGGGGACCTGGGGCTTCAGGCAGTCAGCATGGAGCAGCTCATCGAGGACATCCATTCGAGGGGGCGCGCCGGCTTGATAGCGGAGTACGCGGAGATCAAGCAGAGACTGCCGGAGGGCTCGTTCAACAACGCCAAGTACGTACGTCGTTCAGACCTCCTTCCAGAGGCTGGCTGGACCCAATTCCTTTCCGAATGTTCTGGCTTAAGGAACTCTCGTTACGTTTTTCAGACTGAGACCAAACCAATCGAAGAACCGGTACACCGACGTGCTCTGCTACGACCACAGTAGGGTATGCCTGTCCCAGATAGACGGGGACGCCACCTCCGATTACATAAACGCGAACTTCGTCGACGGCTACAAGCAGAAGAATGCGTTCATCAGCACGCAGGGTCCCCTGCCGAAGACCTGCGGCGATTTCTGGAGGATGATCTGGGAACAGCAGACGCTCGTCGTTGTTATGACCACTAGGTAACCTATTCGAGAGCACCCGAGGCCGCCGGTTAAATATAAATAGTAGGCTTGAAATATGCGAACGGTTTGATGGCCAATGGTCGCGTCTTTGTTACAGAGTGGTGGAACGGGGACGTACGAAGTGCGCACAGTATTGGGGCCCGGAGCCCGGCGACGAGGTACAAGCAGGTGGTTTCACGGTGACCACGCTGGAAGTCGACACCAATCCCGATTACACGATATCTATGTTGCTCCTGACAAATAACAAGGTAGACACCTTGGGCGGATGTGTCGCCAAATACGGTTCCGTTAGCGTCAACACGGCCGGCCGGCGAGAATGCAAAATATGTTATCATTTCAGACTGATGAGGCAAGAGAGGTTTGCCATATGCTGTACACAGCGTGGCCGGATTATGGCGTTCCACAGTCGGCCAGGGCTCTGCTACAGTTTCTAGCCTTAGTAAGACAACAACAAAATAAATTACTCGCGTACAGAGGGGACACATGGGCTGGACATCCGCGGGGACCTCCCATAGTCGTCCACTGCAGCGCCGGAATAGGAAGGACAGGTAATCCGAGCAGCCTGATCAATAGACCACCGATCTTTATGGAGAATGAAAGCTGTCTGTATAAATTGCATGACGCGGGAGCCAAGAGTAATTTTTGTTTAACAAGTTCAAACCGATACAATCAATATTCTTGGAGTTCTATTATATAGTATTTTATATATATATTTTAAAAATACTATATAATAGAACTCCAAGAATGTTGATTATATCGGTTGCTCTCCGAATAAACGCAATATAAAACAGTGAAAATATATATATATAGAAAATAAATAATATATATATTATTATATTATTATTATTATTATTTCTATATATATATATTTTTTTTCACTGTTTTATATTGCGTTTATTCGGAGAGCATTGCTTGTTCTCGTTTAGCCTTCATTAGGAATAATTGATCGAGCCATGCGAAGGGTCGAGGGATGGAATGAAACACTGTTCTAATTTGTGCGCAGGAACGTTTTGCACGTTAGACATTTGCATATCGCGACTAGAGGACACCGGGACCGTGGACATCCGTGGCACGGTGGAGAAAATCCGAGCACAGAGGGCCTACAGTATTCAAATGCCAGACCAATACGTCTTCTGCCATCGTGCTCTGGCAGAGTACGCACTCTCCAGGGGGATGCTTAGTCCGCAACATCTCGCTATGTTACCTCCACCCATAGAAGAGGATTCCGACTAGAGGATAAACGCTCTATTATCATGTACCAGAGATTGATGTTCTTCCCGAGTATGCGTAATAGTTCTCCTTTACATAGCCTATCTCTAGCTTAAATAACTGAAAGTTATTTTTTGCTATCATCTCCATCGATGTAATATTTCCGATTTCTACTACTTACGTTAGGCTACGAAATACCGAATCTATAGGGGGTATCCCGACAGAGGAAACTAGACTTTTTTTCAAGGCCAAACCCGTGAACCAGGAATCCTCGACGTTTCTGCGCGCGCGGGAATATTTTAAAGAAAAAAGAAGATCCGTGTGAACGCGACGAGAGAAGGATAGGGTTATAGAAACGATGAACGGGATTATTATTCGGTGTCGATTAAACGAACGGTGGTGCGCCGTGGACACCGATGTTAGAGGAATTAACGTTGGAACGGAGATGGCCGTCGATCGGATACCGCCGATTCTACCTTTAACCCTCTCATATGTAAATTTTATTGTACATTCTGAGAAGTTGTTCGCGAATTTTATTAGAGACGCTCCGAGAAATGCCTCACCTTGTAAACATTCCATTGAAGTAAACGAAAGAAGAGAAAACACAAGTACTATGTCAATTAAATGAAAATATATACATATTTATATATATACACGCACACATATATATAAATATAATATATAGAACGGGCACCAGTTGTCCCTTGTTTCATAGATTCTCAACCGATGCCTCCGATTAATCTCTCTGTTGACGCGTTGATACGTTAACGATTCGAACGATTGCCGAAGAGGATTGCGCATCGAACCGCCCACCAGCGGGAACGGGTTTGAAAATTAGCGTCGCTTCCGTTCTAGAACCGTGCAAAGCTTTGTTACGTGCCTGTGGCGGTGCGCACAGCGTACGCACACTATTCATTCTGGACACGGTCGATCTGCATTCTCGATTAACGACGCTCAGCTGCATTTTATTTGTCGAGTCGACACGAACACTGTGACGACTCGACGATTATTCTCGTTGCAACGTCCCGTTCGCTGTTCGCTGTGAAAACCGCGGGGCCGCGTTCTTCTAACGAAATATCCCATTCGTTAATTTACGAATCGAAAAATCGACTGAAATTTCGGTGAACTCGACGCCTCTTAAAAGCCTCTTCGAAGCGTCCAACAGTGGGATATTTTTTGGAAAATACTCGACTCGCGGTTGATAGCGAGGAAAACGCGACGCGCGCCCTAAGATGGTTCCAAAATGGCCGGCTCCGCGCTCCCGGGCCACGGCCGACCCCGAATTTACGCCAAGTACAAAGCTCGTAACGATAGATTGTTATAGAATCTTTATATGAGAGGGTTAAAGACCGGCGAGCCTCATTCGAGACGATCGATTTTGAGCCGAAGCTCGACCATTTCTAAGACGAAATTCGTAGGAGATACACACCGCTGTTACGAGAGGTTTTGAGGTATTTAAAACGTGAGAGAGAGAAAGAGAGAGAATGTGATGTTTTATCGGTGTCCAAAATGGGATAGTCGCATGTGTTTCTGAGAATACCTTTAATATTATCATTATTATTAATTATTATTACTATAAACGTGTTACGACGTACGGCCTTCGTCGTGCGGAAAATAAATAATAACCGACACGATCGTGTTGATAGACAGTTTTTTGGGTGACCAAAGATTATCTCCTAAAAACCATCTCAGAACAATTGTGGTAGAAGTAAAGCTCGAACGCGCGGAGGCTAAATTTCGCTGACGAGGGATGTTGCAACGGCGGCCATCGAGCTCGCCTAAACTTTCACGTTGTCACACCGAAAGAATGCAAGCCGGTCCTCACTGTGTATTCTCAAATCGTATGCGAGAGAGCGAGAGAGCGAGAGAGGGATGAAAGTTTATAGAAATCAGTGTGAGGGATATTTTCGCAGATTTATTTTTGCTGAAAGCTCGCCGAATGTGGTCCGATCGAGCTCGATGGTCGGCCGGTGCTCCTCGCGAAAGAGACAATTTCGCGGAACGATTCCTTTCGCAGGGATTGCCAATCAGGGATCATTATAGTTATTATTACAAGTACGCTCCGTTCGACGAAACGAGGAGATCGGCGTTAAACGTTTGAACGGCTGAATCGATGAGGAAGATTCATCGACTAGTTTTACCTCGAGAATCAAACGGAGATGCGGCCGCCTCGGCGAGCAAGTTAATAAAATTAGGATTCGCCTGCGAAACGGGAAGTATTGTAGCGAGCTGTTTCAGTCGACAGAGATTCTCCAAATGTGTAACGGTAATTTCACTCGTGACAACAATCGAGTCTTTCTACTACGAGGGTAGTTCGAAGTTAACTTGTCTCTCGAGGTGCCGACTGTAGAAGTCGTTCAAAGTTCTTAGCGGAATGACGTTTGCTGATTCGAAAGTTTACGTTCTTCCATGAAAGCCTTCTAATGTACGCGAGGGAGAGAGAGAAAGAGAGCAAGAGAGAGAGAGAGAGAGAGAAAGATTAAAAGGGGTGAGATGTGATTTCTAATTTAAGGCTTTTACCGAGTGACCTCCGATCAGAGAACCACTTGCGTTGACAATGTAAGGGTTGCACGTGACCCGTGTGCCACCCTTAGCTTCCCGCAACTTATTTTTCGCTGTGTACGTTCTCGGCGGCTTGACAGCACCTGTCGTTAGCTTTACGGATGTCACTTATCGATCAGTAACCGCTGTTTTACATGCGAACGGTGCACAGCAATCGAAACGAAAATCAGCTCTTCAACTTGATTGAAAATACATTATAGCAGTAAAATAGCCTTCCGGTTTGCAAACGTACCGATATCTCGCATCGAACTGCAATCACCTCGTGCGCAATTTACGGCTGATCAAAGTCTCCCGAGATCGGCGAGGTTCCATAGAATCGACGAAAATTCTCACCGTCGTAAATCGTTCTCCGCAGCTGTAAATTCGCATGAAAGATCGCAGTTCGCAGATCGTGGTAACGCAAACAGTTCCGCGAAAAGCAGTGCCCGCACAAAGTTCCGCCGTAGAGCATTTTATCGAGCGACTCTCGAGTACCGTAAACTATCGAATGAATGAGTGTTGAAACTGTCCGATTTCCAGCCACCCAATGTCTGATTATCCGTTTGTTCAATGTGTGTCGAATAGTTGTGAAAGAGAGAGAGAGAGAGAGAGAGAGAGAGAATGAGAGCGAGAGAAATTTGCGACGCTGGATCGTTGTTGGGACGACAATATGGCGTCGCGACAGTGTTCCCCGCGCCTGTGCGATCGTAAACGACAACCGAGGCACGATTATGTGATAGCCGATTAGCAACTTTGATTCCTTTCGTTTCACCGATTTGTAATTCGTCGTTAGGGCCCGCGCGTCTACTTAATTGTCCCTCGATTCTATTCGATTTGCCATAAACGACGTTTGAGTCGACGCGAATTGTTCTCCGCTGGGAACAATGCAGCGTCGGGCAAAAAAAAAAAAGAAAACGTTTGTCTTCGATCGAGAATGAGATGAAAGAGATCTGTCATCGATCCCGGAACTAAGAAATTCGTGCTAATTAAGAACGATCGTTTAAGTAGTCCACGATGAATCTCCAACGAAGTTTCTCGTCAAAATTTTTCTTGGAAATCTCCGGCGGCTCCAGCGCGCCGAGGATATACATATACGTATTTAAGAAAATTACAAAACACTTCGACGAAAGTTTCGAAATCGGGATGTGCGGGGTAATTGTTGGTTGGGAGACGGCAAATGTTTTGCGCGGCGTTGAAAGCTTATTGCCCGGAATCCAACGCGTGTATTTTTCTGTACAGAGTCTGTGTATATTGAACGCGCAAGAAATTTTTAGGCACCGCGTACGACGAACGTCGACGGTGAGCGCTGTTTGTTAGAGAGATCTTCGAATTTTATATAACGAGAGGCGCTGTTGTAAAACGCTTAGTCAAAGTTAAATAAGTTCGAACATTTGTCGACGTACGCACGTTCCTCCTACTCTTGGGTTACCTTACGAAGGGCATGTTATCGGTACAATCACGTTTATTATTACTATTTTATTACTATTATTATTATTATTATTAATTATTATTAATTATTATTATTATTTTGTCTCTAACGTTTGTAATTAGTTCACGATGCCCTTTTATATTATCTATACAATATTTATTAAAACATTTATCTGAAAGTACTAGTACGATGTATATGTATATATATGCGCACATATTGTTGTGAAATTGTAAGGTTCACACTTCAACCTCCGTGGCCTCAGAGCTCGCAAAACAAGAACAGTTCTAATTTGTAAAAAATTTTCTTTCGTTCAATTTCTCGGTTCGACGGAATGTTCAATTAGAAAATCCTGTTGCTCGTACGGGACGGAGGTTGAATCGCGATTGAATTTTCTTTGAAGCGAAAGCGGAGATTCGGTTTTCGACGTTTTCATCCCCCGCCCACGCCCCCCCCCCGTAAAGTTCCCTGTTAAGTGTGAATGTAACAACGTGTGATTTTATAGGAAAACTTGTATGTGTCTATCTCGTAATTATCCTCAGGCGTGTGAAGGGTAGTAGCGGGCGAGAAGCGCGTGAACGATTAAGAAAGAAGGGCAATGATAAAGAGAATGATAAAAGGGAAAAATAATCCACCGGAGAGCAGGTACCAAAGTTCTTCTGTTTTGTTCGTTTAAGATGTTCGGACGAGCAACGTGCACGCTATTGCCAATTCGTACAGAGTTCTCTGCGCACATTCAAAGCAAACTGCGGCCGGATAGATCACGAGAATTGATCTAACAGTATTACGACTTATGAGTTTGTACCGGGTGCTTCGAAATATGTGGTCCGTGCCGATGAAGGGGCACCCTTTATATTAAAAATCGACGCTGAAATTACCGAGCACTAAAGGCAACGTTCAAGGAATCAGTTTATCATTATTATATATATAATAGCGATATTATTATATTAATATTATATATTATTATATTAATATTATATTAATATTATATATTATTATATTAATATTATATTAATATTATATATTATTATATTAATATTATATTAATATTAATATAATAATATCATATTATATTAATATATAATGATATTATTATATATCAATTATATTTTATAAAATTAATCATTCGAAGTAGGATCATGTTGACAATTTTTCACTTTTATGTTGACCATAATTTTTGTGTTATTAAGATGAATTTTCCAATGGTGACAGCAATCTCATTTGCGAACCAAGTTATCTGATGCAAGATTGTTTAATAATTTCTTTTAGGATCGCCGATTAGGAAAAATGCTTGAACGTCTTTCAGATTTATGAAGCCTCTACTTCGGACAGATCACATGTTTCGGAGCAGCCTGTAGCTCGAATATCGTCTTTCATCTGTTCTCCCTGTGTTCTCCGTTTAGTTACTTTGAAACGAAGCCTCGAACAAAGTGGGAAACACGGAACGGAACGAGATGAGTAATATCAAAAACTCTTGGAGAGAGATATTTTAGCGCGTAAAATCGAATGCATGCGATATTCCTGTTGTTTAATTCGTTGTTTTTTGAACATTTAAGCGAAACGTGCCGAGACACGTTTTGTCCGGGAATAACGGAGATTTAAATTAAGAAGGAGAAAAAACAAATTGTACATACGAGTGACATGACTTCGAAACGACTATCGCACATAAATGTATCTAATAATTATTTAATATATTGCAGATATAAATGGCATTAATTACTTTTGTTCTTATTTCCTCTTTGCGCCGCAAAACTGCGTTTATTGCATTTGCAAATTGACTTTAAACCTTATCAAAAAGTGTTGATTAAAGTTTTTCAATGGATTTTTATAAATTACTGGAATCAAATGATTTCATTTAGTAGCCGAACAAATGGTTCATTGATTTACAAGCGTTATTCGATGGACCCATCATCGCATACCAGCAGATGCGCGAACTAAATCTGTCCTATATGCGCAATACAGGGTTGCTGAAAAATATTAATTACGTCATAATTAGGGCGAACATAAATAAACCAATGGCACAGAATCGTTCAGAAAAATCTACTGCATCGATATTGCATGAAAAAACAGTTGACAACACGGTATAAAATAATTAACTGCATTTTGAAGTTTAATTCATTATTATATTAATTAATTCTATTTTTCAGTATTGTCATCGATTTTATATACGTGATATCGACGCAGCAGACTCTGACGAACAGTTCTGTGCCTTTCGTTTAATTTTTCATACCCTAATTTTGACATAATCAATGTTTTTAGGCGATCCTGCATCATGCATACGTGGCGCCTCTGTTGGAGAAACAATGAAGGAAACTGCGTTCGATGTTCATACAGCACCAATCGGTGCAGCGGCAAAACGTTCAAACTGTTGGCCAAAATCGACTGTCAGTAATTTGTTCTCGTCACAAACTTAGGATCAATACAGACATTGCACACAATACAGACTAAGTCTGTGTTGCCATCGTACCATAGCATCTTCTACAAAGACGGTAATTAAAAAAAAAAAGCATTGCATACAATGTCTGCGCGGATCCTAAGTCTGTGCCATTACGTTAATAATCTGCCGAAAATGCTTCTGCTGCGCAAAAAAAGAAAGACAAAGTAATCGAGAAGGTTTAACGTGGGAGCGAGCAAAATTTCAAACACTTTCCCTTCGAATTAACCCCTTAATGCACAATTTTTTTGAAAAAGGCCGACCAAAAAAATCAATTCTTTTTAATGTAAAAAGACACAATTTAGATCGTTGTCTTGGCAAGAAAATCACAAAAATACAAAAATAATGGATATTTATACAATTGGTATGATTTCTAATTTTCAGAATATTACTATTATTATTATTGTTATTATTATTATTATTATTATTATATTTTATTTTACATTATATTTTAGTAAAATATATATTGAAAAATGAGCGAATCAGTATCTGAATATGAATACGCTGTCGGAAAGCGGCTCACAAGGAAGAGATAAGTCGTAAGTGATAAGTATAGAAAAAGGATATATTTTATACTTGAATAAGTAAGTGTTATAGCTTACAATCCCATGTAAATGATAAATATCAATAAAACGATTGTTTTTTTTTTGCTTTCACATTGTTATTTTCAATTCTCGATTGCATTCGAGTGTGAAAAATTATAGCAACATAAAGTACAACGCCGCTCGAATTATCTCGAGTGTGCACAGTTTGGCCAGTTTAGCGCGCTCGAGTTA